ATCCTAAACCCCCATCGGTGTGATTATTTTAATGCTGAGATTATAAACCTCTTTCCCGTGGTCGTTACGAATATCCTGAAAGGATTTTGGTGCCATGCTTTGCAGTTTTAACCCAGCATGCCCTGCGCTGGTCTCAGCCTCATGAAAAGCCCACTTAGAGGGAAACAGTTTGTAAACGTTGGTTGTGAAACGAGCCAGCCAGATATGTATGGCGGATATAGGTACGTATCTCAAACAGAAGAATGACCAAGCATTACAGCATTATAATTCTGAATACACATAAGACCAATTTAACACTTATGGTACTAAGACATTCAAAAGGGGAACGTCACGAGACATCCTGTCCGCAGACGTTGTGGCTCCGGGCACTGAGACACCCAAGAAACCGAAATCTGTGGGTTCATTGTTATTATTGTTGTTATTATTATCAAGGCCAGTTATCGGGTAGCTTTTAGGAAAGGTCTCTGGTAATATGGTTTCGTGGCTCCCCATAACAACTAAGTTGCACTTCACAAGAAGCGTCGAGGTATTAAAAGTTGACCTCATTAGAGCACATGAGGCCTGCCAAGCCGAATATGCAAAAGACCATCTGAAAGGTTTTCTATCGAAAACAGTCATACCAAGGACTACTTAATTTCCAAACCCGCCATTTTAACGGCTTAGTAGTACTAACCGACAAAATCGCGTGACTGAGTCTCTGGAAGGGCAGTCCAGGGTGTCAAGGTGGCATCTAGTGAAACTTAGGTCCGACTGCTTCGTCGGGTTGGCTGGTTAAGTTGGTTAGAAACTTGCCTAAGTATGAGAGTGAGTTTACTTACCGAACTAAGGCGTCGGCCAAGGAGATCATACTAAGAGTATGATTGTGCCCAAGGTCTATAGATTTTAAGTTTAAAAATAGGGCGCGTCAAAAAAACTGCTCGGGTTGCCGCGGGATCACCAGTGTCTCTTATCATCGCAGACATACTGACGGATGGCTGGGAACGAATAGGTCTTCAGACATTTGGTCCTGACCCAAAGATATGGTTCCGAAGTGTAGACGATATACTTACAGTAGCGAAATCAGAATACATCAAGAAGTTCTTGACACATACGTTCAGTATTGAGTGCAATCCATTTACCCATTAGTTAGATGCGATGAAGACGAGCTAGGAATGTTGAATTGCATGATTAAACGAAATCAAGATGGAAGTTTAGAGGCCGCAGCCTATTGGAGACCGTCTCATAAGAATCGCTACTTAGACTTCAAATCATCTCACCACACCTCATTTAAAGTGGGTTCGGTTAAATGTCTTGGCAACTGGACAAACAAGCTTGACGGAAGGTCGGAAAATCTACGCAAGATTTTAGGCAAGAGAGAAACATCCCGACAGCAGCAGTTGTAACACACGTGCTGCCAGTGATAGTCCCACTTATAGTAGTAATGGTGGTGACGGTGGCGCAAAGGAGGCACCTCAAAAGCGTTACGAAGAACTCTCGATAAAGCCTTGTAGGACATAAGACCCCATTGGTACAAACGGGCGAAATAATCCCGCGTGACAAATCTCTGCAACGACCGCAATGTTAAATACATAAGCAACAGCAGTCGACCAGGGACAACTAGAATAACACAACATAAAAATTTAGCCAAATCAAGAGTAACAGATCCCAGTGAGACAAGAAATTTCTACGAAACCCTGACTACAGCTAGGCGCGTAACTATATACAATAAGATGGTGCAAGTAAGTATCTCATTCTCACGTTACGAGTTTAATATGAAAAAGAAAAAGCGACAGTGTTAAAAGCCAAGCTGGCTGGGTGAAGATACAGACTGATAAGCGGATCTTTGTCCATCGAATCGACACCAGATACATGTAAAAGAAATGATTCTACATCTATCTAGATAAGTGGAAAATTTCACTGACTCACAGAGAAGGAGAAAAAACTATAACTACATAAACTCTGTCTCAAAGTTGTAGAGTTACGTGACTTGAATATGGGCATTATTCACTTGGTGATACTGTTTTGCTGTATGACATTTCCAATGAACGGGCCAAATGGAGTTATAATCTACCACTGAATTAAAGTTTTACCTCATTGTTGCAATGGTAATATCGGAACTCGAAACTCTGACTTCTGAGACCGTGTGAAAGCGTCTTACTGATATTCGTTTAATGTTCGTTCATTACAATTTTGTGATGCGAGGCCTAGGGAAACATGTGGGGCTGAACTTTATTTGTTTTAGGGACAGCTTGTGACCGTCGATGGAAGCCTCTTCTCTACCATGGAAAGTGGGTGGTGATGATCTCGGTAAAGTATAGTCATTTTATGTTATTACGCTGCACGCCAGCAGCCATGAATGTTTGTGCAAGACTTTGGTGGCAGTCAGGACGGGTAGCATTTGATTAACACTTTTCCCTCATGTAGGAAATATGATGGATAAAACCAATAAGGTAGCGGGCATGCGGCGTTAAACACCCATCTGGAACAGTAGCCCAGTGTTCGACAAGCTTCAGCACTGAAGCAGACCCTCATCGTTTTGTCGGAATCACCAAGCCGAATGCACCCAGTCAAGCATCCATTCTATGTGCTACGCTGCAGTGTCACGTTGCACTATTCGTAATCGACCCCCTAGCCAGTGAGTCAGAACTCATCGGTATCTCGGCTTGACCTGGCAAATATAATATTCTACTCGACTACGCTATCGTGTTCTTCCTCGCTCTCGTATTCGTGGGTATATAAGAAGTACGAATAATTAGTGATTGGCCTTTGCGTCTGCCAAGTTCGCACCAGGACAATTCCTAAGATCTTGACGACTGAGCTCGTATTCATTCGAGAAAAAGTGCTGTGTAATACTTCATCCGCATATCACGAATGTGGAATAATCGGTGAGTTACAGTCGTTACAAATTGCAGATTACACTGTGTTATCTCTGCAGCAAGGTACGTGAACTCTGACTTGTTGATAATGAGCTGACGAAGTCACGAATTGCGTTACTTCTGTTGCTAACAGACGCTTTCCATACGGTCAGATGAATAATATCAAGTAGCAAACCATGAGCTATTGGTTCAACTGGACGTTCTTTATCTAAGAAAACCCACAACATGGTGTAAAATGAAGAGAAGTTCAAAAGACAACACTAACTATTAGTGAATGAATCCTAGGGACCTTCGAGGACCTCAAGCATTGTCACAATGACTGAATGTTTTGAAGAGATTTAATGCTTGAGACTTAACTGTGACTGGCAGCACTGACAAACTGAGGAGTAAATACACAGAAGCCTTAGGTTAACGATCAACTAGTGCATGAAAATCGTCGTAAGACAGTGGGGTTTCATTCCCTGGGGTAAGGGAATGGTTTGAACCGAAGAAAACACGACACTTGTGGCGGCGGTTGGTTGGCCCCTTGGGAGGGAACTTTGCAAAATACCACCGTCTAGAATTTTCACCACCTTTTTAGGAGATAGAATGTTTATTCGACGACTACCGTACCAAGGAAAATAGTTTTGGTTTTCAAAAACCAGCTCGCAGACAATGTACTCCCTTACCTAGACCCTATGTAGTCAGCACCAGCAACGAATACCCCAGTGGTTGTTTGCACGGAAGAACTGTTCGCTTGTGACTCGCTCTTATCAGTACTTCATGGCAGGAATTTTTTAGTTTTGAAATACGACTGGTACATTCGTGGCTAAGAAGTCTCACAAAGTAAGCCCACGCAACTCTGTCGCTGGTGGTAAAAGTATTCATAGGCTTGTGAATTCATTCAGTGCCATGCGTACCCCTTCTTCATCCACCAGGTGTCCCATTCTACTAAGTATGCTTTAGCTGCAAACAAAACCCAGAGAATTTCGTCGCTATGTTCAAGCTGTCTTCATGATCGCGAAATGTTATTTGTAGCGGACCAACTACTCTGATTGAAGACTTCACTAAGACCATGCAGGTGATAGTAAATTGCTTGCTGCTCAGAAAAGAAGTGTTTTAAATAAAGCCTGTACCTTCCGCCCGTTGTTGCAGAGTGGATCACATGTTGCCAGTTGACTTGACTCATGTGGCAAGTTATTGTTAACAAACAGGGTTTAACCGCTTGTCTGATCTGCATGTAGTCTGCTACACATTCCTAATGAGTGGATGAAATTCAGTTGACCTCTGTTATGAACACCCCACGGTACGGAGTCGTGGAAACTGTTCGCTAAAAGAATTGATGCACATCAAAACTGTGGGCTTATTTTTTTCTAAAGTAAAGTTCACAGTGCTACTGAAATGAACAAAATCATATTATCCTAGCTTCGGAAAGCCTGTTGCAGCTGATTTGGATGCACTGGTTGCTCAACAAGATTCCACCTTCAGGAACCAAGTTCCACTGAAATTATACTTACTAAGCCCAACCTGTACGTATCAACAAAATAATGATGAAATTGATGGGTAGCGACCATAACCTTTTATACACAACAAACTGTTTTGTAAAATGAACACAAGCCATGGAGCCATAACAGCTAAGCTGGATCGTCCAGCGTTCATTCGAAGTTAAAGAATGTATCGCTTATTCATTTATGGAAAAGGTTGGCAGGAAAGCAAAATAAATACTTTGAGTTTACGCACCGCAGAATGCATAAAGTATAAGCTGATAGTTTCAGCTTCCTCCAAGCTGAATAGCTGAAACAGTGAGTAGCGTCTCTTCATTCAGATATGAGCAGTGTTATTAAGAAAGGAAATTTAGATATCTTTCCACTGTCCATAGAGCAAGTAAGTCGAGATATTTAGTGGGTGACACGAAAGACTAAAGAAATACTCACTAGTATATTATCTATTTTCTAAGTACTAATAAAGCTGAATAAGAGAATGGGTTTGTTGTAACGACGTTCACATTGTTCAGATATACATCATAGCTACCGGATACTCACGAACACGGTTTGTCATGACGGTCGCATATCTTGTTTCACATACAACTCAACCTTGAGGATTTCCCAAAAGCGCTTAGTATGGAATGAAATGTGTTTGACGCGTTTCTGATGACTTGGTGAGAACATGGACGTGCTGACGGATAGTACTGTAAGGAATCTTCCTCGACATACACTATTAAACTTACTTCTGAAAGACTCTACAATTTCTTTCTACCCTGCAGGGATATGAAAATAAAACCAAAACATGTGGGAGTGTAAACGACACAGCTGATGAAGGTATGTCTCACCATTTTTTCTAGTTTGTTTTCTATTGATCATGTAGTTTTGAAGATATTTTCTTTTAGCTTTAATTTTATGGTATTTTTCACACTAAGTAGTAGATCCGTGTAATTTCATCTGAGTTGTTATTCACTTATTATAAGTGTGTGGTCGTTGATGGAATCCTGCTCCACCCAAGATTTTTGTTTCGCCTTCAATTATCACCTAGTAGGGCTACCCTTGTGCGAATTAAACCTCCACAGTTGTACCAGAATCCAGTGACTAAAGTGCAAACTCACTTGATGTCAAACAATATTCTCTAATTAGTGAATGAAAAAGTGGAAAAAAGATTTCAAACTTGTTTTACCAGTCATGGCATTTTGCTTGTTTAGAAAAGTATTTCACCTAAGAATTGAGTATGTTTGTGTTGATTCATCCAATTTTATACGATTCATGACTACGATATGATTGCGTGTTAAGTAAAATTAGTTTCCGTGCATTATCTCAATTTCCGTATGGATAAGTTTCTCCATTTTCATGAGTCACGGTACATTCTGATTGTTATTCACCTGTAAAACTTGTCACATTAAACAATGAAAAAGCCATTATTCTTTGTCTTCTACTTTACCTTGGGAAAGGATGTACGATTGACAATTAGTATTGCAAACATCTCTTGCATCCACTTCGCTCAGTGTCTGGAGTGCTCAAAACAGTCGGTGCAGCGATATTCATGCACTGAGGCGAGCAAAAAGTCAGAATCATATGGCAGTCAGTATTATGTATTTTGCAGTTGTCAGTTTAAACAAGTGATATACATTCGTATCAATTTGTCATTGTAGCAATTAAGTTATTAGTACTAAGCAAATATTGATAGCGATGTTACTGTAACTTTAGTTCCCCCCTTACTTTATTAGTGTACTTCTCAGTAAGGCATTTTTTTTTCTAGGATGCTTTCATCATGCTCTTCACATTTATGTGCGTACCCTATCTACATTTCTTTCGGGTACTTTGAAAAAAATTGGTCACTTGTTAGCTGATCAGAATGTGGAGATAGAAGAAAGTGTGAAAATGTTTCTTGAAGGTGTATCCTGTGATCGTAAATGTCAGGACAAAGTCAGTCAGTCAGTCGTGCAATATGGTATTACTGTGTATCGTTCTCAGTTGCCAGACCTCATGAACACATGAAGCGTTCATGCACTAATACGCACGATAAAGAAATGAACAAGAAAGCTGTCAAAAAGGATGGAATGTCATCGAGAGAAAGCGAGGAGGAATGAAAGAATACTGATTAACAAGAATTTGTGGATATATCTGTGGCAGAGATCGATTCTGAGCTATATCACCTAGAGTTTGCAATCGGTAGTTTATTCTGAGAATACTAAAATTCAGACCAGCAGTCAGAGACCTCATGATCCATCCGTCCATCTAAATCAACATACGACCAAACGTTACTGCTTTACGGTCCGAGTTGCCACAGCTCATCAGTACTTCAAGTAAACCCGACCGATAGCTGCTACCTTGACGTGGTGGTTGGGCTTGCATATCACAATGACCCAACGAGCTATGCTGGTGGAACACTTGTTCCCTCGAGGTCCTACCATACCAGAAAGGTCTGTTGGATAGTGGTTAGACAAAAAGCAGTTACTGTTATAGTGTAAATTGCTACACTATGATGGGGGTCTGAGGGCGAAGTCGTACTGCTGCTAGCTGGATGGGGTGTGACAGCAGTAAGGTGTTTCCCTTGGATGACCAGCAGTGCCATACTGATGCTGCCTTCTCAGTGGAAGGGGGGGTTAGAAAAGGTCGGCCCCCAAAATAACACACTCCACCACGCCCCACGGTCTGCCGGGCCGGCGGTGTTGGTTCACTTGTCGTTTCCTTTCGACCATCCGGCCCCAAAAATACAAAAGTTCAAAATAATCATACTCAAAAGGCTGGGTGTGACAGGCCTCAAGCAGATGTCCGATGGGCTCTGCGGTCACACAAATCTCTTTCAGGTACCTTAAGAAGAAATAGCCTTCCACGGTGTGGGCAGCCGGGAAGTGTCAACCGCCCTCACAACTCTCTCAGCACCCAAGTTTCTTCTGACTGCTACCCACCCCCTCCATCATTACCTTCTAATCTTCCTTCACATCTCTTAATTAATGATGCTGCATCATCTTCAATTTCTCCTACCTCTGCAGCCTTCGACAACGATCTGAGTCCACAGAACAGCATCCCTGGTCTCCTTAAACCATGCTCCAAATGGCCAACAGGCTTCGTTAGCAAAGACTCTAGCAACTCGGGCATGGATGTGTGCTGTGTTTGTGAGACACGCATACAGGACCCAAGTGTGGTTATTCACCTGACCTCTCCTGACCAATCTGGTGAATCTGCAAAATTCACCCTTCGAGTTTCTGGAGATTCGATAGCTAGCTCTCGTGGTCTTGCAGGTGTAGGTATAGCATTAAGCACCAGGGCAGAAAACTCACTACTAGACTGGATCCCAGTTGATAGTCGCCTCTGCGCTATGAGGCTGAACGGCACAGTGAGAACTAAAAGGAATAGTGAGACTCGCCGTTGTCTCTTTGTAATCTCTGCTTACGCACCCACTGACTGTAGTTCGGATGAAGTGAAGGACGAGTTCTACCATAAACTGTCTAACCTCCTCTCGAAAGCCAAACGTTCGGACGTAGTGGTTGTTGCAGGTGACCTCAACGCACAGGTGGGTAGACTGAGTGAGGCAGAAAGGCACTTAGGTGGCACTTTCGGAATCCCAGCTGAACGTACAGATAACGGTGATCGCCTATTACAACTATGCTCAGATAACCGCCTATTTTTAGCCAGCACAAATTTCAGACATAAAGAAAGGCACTGTCTGACCTGGCGTCCACCGAGCTCGACTCAGCGATGGACACAGATAGACCACATTGCTATTAGTCATCGCTGGAGAGGATCGGTGGAAGACTGCCGCTCCTTCTGGAGTACGTGTTTGGACAGCGATCATGCGTTGGTCCGAGCACGTATATGCCTGCGTCTCAATGGACGTAGAAAAAATTTGGCAACAAAACCACTACGAGTTCTGCTGGACAACGAAAACACCAAAGCCGTGTTCAGTGAGAAGTTGGCTAGGCAGTTATCGGAACAAAAGACTGTCACTCATCCAGAAGAAGCTTGGTGCCATCTTCAGTCTACTGTAAAAGCAGCACTGGAGACTGTAGCCGACTCCAAGATAATGGCTAAAAAGAGCCAGTGGATATCAGCAGCTTCTTCCAAACTAATGGATGCACGTGAATGCATCCCTGCAGGCTCTGAGTACAATGAAGAGCGAGCGCAACTTAAAAATAACTGACGAAAAGTCTGCGCAACGATCGTGAACAGTGGTGGGCAGCAAAGGCTAAAGAGATGGAAAAGGCAGCGGCGATCGGTAACAGTAGACAGTTATTTAGACTTATTAAGGAGACTGGGGGGAAATGGTCAACAACAGTTAGTGAGGTTATAGCGGAGAAGGACGGATCGGCGATTCACTCGCAGGGAAGGCGACTGGGACGATGGGCAGAACACTTTGAGGAACAGTTTAACTGGCCTCCAGCCACCATTGCGCTGCCCGCTATCCAGTCGGACCCTGAATGGGACATAGAGACAGGTCCCCCAACACTAGAAGAAGTTGAGAAAGCGGTAGGTAGCCTGAAACGGGGAAGGGCAGCAGGACCAGACGGACTACCTGCTGAGGTATACAAGAATGGTGGTAGAGTTCTCTTAGTCAGGCTAACGGAAGTGTTAGCCAGTATATGGGAATCAAATACGATCCCCTCCGACTGGTCTAAGTCACTGATCATCCCAGTCTTCAAGAAAGGCGAGAAGTCCTCTTGTGATAACCACAGAGGAATCAGCCTGACAAACATAGTGTCTAAGATCCTAAGTTCTATAATTCTCCGACGCCTGAGTGGAGCTCGGGAACAGCAAGCCCGAGAAAACCAGGCAGGCTTTAGACCTGGCCGTGGATGTATCGACCAAATATTCACACTGCGCCAGGTCCTGGAACATAGGCATGCTTACAGACGCCCGACAATAGCTGTATTTCTCGACCTGAAGGCGGCATTTGACTCCGTTGATCGAGAAGTCTTATGGCAGTGTCTGTCACTGAAAGGCGTGCCTAGTAAGTACATCACCTTATTGAAAGCTCTCTACTCGAACACTTGTGGGCATGTTAGAGCCTATGGTGAGTTGTCCAGGGAGCTATACTCATCAAGTGGTGTCCGTCAAGGATGCCCACTATCCCCATTCTTATTTAATTTTATCATAGATATTCTTATGGAGGTTTCCCTCTCGTCACCTAATTACAAAGACGTTGACCCGATCACAGGTGAATTTTCCTTAGATCTAGAATATGCAGATGACATAGTCCTGTTAGGTGAAGACGCTGACAAGATGCAGAGTCTTCTGAACACTTTGAGTGGGAATTTGAGAATGTTTGGGATGCGATTTTCACCACCCAAATGCAAATTTTTGCTCCAGGACTGGTCTTCAGCGGTACCGCGGTTAACAATAGAGAGTGAAGTGGTTGAGTGTGTTGACCACTTCACTTACCTGGGAAGTAGGATCAACCCGGTGGGTTAGTTGCCGATGAGATTTCTGCACGGATACAAAAGGCTCGATTGGCTTTTGCCAATTTGCGCCACCTATGGCGCCGCCGTGATATTCGTTTGTCTATTAAGGGTCGCGTGTACTGCACAGCAGTCCGCTCTGTTCTACTGTATGGCTGTGAAACATGGCCATTGAAAGTGGAAGACATGAGAAGGTTTCAGGTGTTTGACCACCGTTGCCTTCGTAGTATAGGACGTATTCCGTGGTGTCACCATGTGAGTAATGCAGAAGTTAGGTGTAGAGTTTTAGGGAGAAGAGGTAAGTCAGTCGACGAGGTTGTGAACCTTCATCGACTGAGATGGTTGGGACACGTACTACGTATGCCTAGTCACCGATTGCCTCGTCACACAATGTTGGCTGAGGTGGGTTCAGGCTGGAAAAAGGCCCGAGGTGGCCAGACTAAAACATGGCACCAATGTATGAAGTCTCTGACTGTTGGTTTAAGCCATGTAGGACGATGCAGACTAGGTGGTTGGGTCGGTGGGACAAGAGGAACCAGTGGTTGGAGACCCTAGGTGATATGGCTCAGAACCGAAGTCAGTGGCGCAGATGTATACACACATTATCCTCATCTTAACAACGCTATACCGAATCTCACTATTTTGTCACTCCTCTTTCCTTTCTTCTCGTACTTTATATTTCTTTTGACTGCATTCACTTATCTTCATCCTTCACCTCACTACCTTTTTACTTGATGTGCTGATATGAGGTGTGGCAACTCGGACCGTTACGCAGTAATGCCTGGTCCTATGTTGATAATAATGATGATGATGTGACTTCAAGTAAAGAGGTAGTGAGGTGGAAGATGAAGAAAAGAAAATCTAGTCAAAAGAAATATCAAGTACAAGAAGATAGAGGAAGAATGAGGAAATGGTGAGATTCGCTATAGCCTCGTTAAGATGAAGATAATGTGTGTATACATCTGCGCCACTGACATCGGTTCTCAGCCATATCGCCTAGAGTCTCCAACCACTGGTTCCTCTTGTCCCACGGACGCCGAGACCTCATGTACTGATGAGACGTTTTAGTCTGGTCACCCCTAACCTTTTTCCAGTTCAAATGTAGTCCACCCTACACTGTGTGACAAGGCAGACGACTAAGCATATGTAACGCATGTCTCAGTCATCGATCTCGATGAAGGTTTACAACTTCGTCAACTGACTTTCCTATTCTAGCCAAAATTCTACTCCTGATTTATACGTTACTGATATGATGGCACCAACACACACGTCCTATGCTACGGAGGCAACGGTGGTTCAACATCTGAAGCCTTCTTTTGTTCTCTACTTTCGAGGGCCATATTTCTGAGCCAAATAGTAGGACTGAACGAACTGCAGTGCGATGCGGTCGACCCTTAATAGGCAGTTAGTATCACGACAACACCATACATAAAATATGGAGGCGAGTGCTTGAGACCACCCGATCTACGCAACTCACCTGGGAACTCACTACAGGCTCCAATGTAATTACGGGTTTTTGAGTACAGTCTTCAGCGGGGTAATTCACTTACTTACCTGCTGTCTTAGGATCTCTCGGTTGACGGAGATAAATTCCGCCTTCAGATCGAGAAATACAACGAGTGTTGGCTGCCAGTAGGTGTGATTGTTCCAAAACCTGGTGGAAGGTTAACACCTAGTCGATGTATCCACGAAGAGACCTGAAACCTACCTGACTTTCTCGAGTCCACTGTACCTTAGCTCCATTTAACTGTTGAGTAACTAATGAACGTAAAATTTTAAACTATTCTTCAGACTGACTACCCTGTAGTGATTACAAGAGGATTTTTCCTTCTTGACAATTGGGACAATTAGTGATTGCGACCAGTCAGACGAAATCATTTTTGGTTTTGGTTTTCCTTTCTCTCCATAGGGAAGGCAACACCAGCGCGACACTGCTTGTTATCCACGGGAAACACCTTACTGCTGTCACAGCCCTATCCAGCAAACAGAACGACTTGGGACTCCCATCACAGCATAGCAGTGTACACTGTAATAGCAACTGCTTTTCTTCGTGCCACCATCCAACTAGGCATTCGGGTATAGTGAGGCCTCAGGAGAAAAAAAGACTCAATAGCATAGCTCGCGTCATCGTGTTATGCAAGCTCGACCACCACATCTAATTATCAGCTATCGGTCTCTTACTATACCGATATTTCCCAGTTTCTTTTATGAGTGTAAATAACTTTACTTTTGACTGTCTCCGCGACGTTTTCAACCTCTAGCCTTCGCCACTAACCGCTACCTGCAGTCGTTGCGTAGACTTCCTAGTTTACATTCAAGTTGCTTCCGCTCATTGTGCTTGGAGTTACAGGTATGCGTTCGCATTCTTCTACTAATTTAGAAGGAACTGTTTATGTCTATTAACCTTTTCCAACTTTTTTCTGAGAGTTGGTTACTGCTTTTGACACTGTTATCACAGAAAACTAGAGATGGCACCAAGTTTCTTTGGGACAAGTGACGTTGTTCTGTCCCGATAACTGTCTGGCGGGATTCTTGTTGGACGTAATCCCGGCATTTCCATCATCTAGCTGCATTCAGTCGTGTTGCGGGAGTATTTTTCTACTTTATTTATGCAGACATACGCGTACTCAAACCAATGCGTCATCGCCGTTTATAATTGTGCTTCAGAAGGAGTATCAATCTCTCACTGTTTCCCATCAATATCTGATAACAACATGGTTTCTGTGTTCATCGTGGAGTTGAGATCGATTGTTACCACGTTAGACAGTGTCTCATCTCATTTTTGAAGTCTGTGCTCCCTAAAAATGGTTGGTTTTCTGAGCACAGTTGTAGCAGGTAGTCTCCACTAAACCATCGTTTGGCTAGGATTTTAAAAGTCCAACCTCAGTGACTTTCTATTTCACGTGAAACGATAACCGCTTCTGAACGTTTTGCTTCCAGTAGAAGTTTAGACAGTTTACAGTAGAACTCATTTCACTTCATCAAAGCTACAATCAGTGGGTATGTAGGCCTAGGTTAAAAGGACTCACTGACGATTTTTTCTATTTTTATTAGTCCTCACTGTATCGTCCAGTCGAACAGCTCACAGGTGACTGTTAACTGTTATCCAGTCGACCAGTACACTTTCTGCCTTACTGACCGACTAATAAAATCAACGTGGAACCTTGCACACAGATGTATTTGCTCAAGTTGCCACAATTCACAGTACACAAAAAACAGGTGGATACAAAGGAGTGATATCAAAGTCGAAAACGTTGTGCGAGAAAGCAAGCGGTTTGCAGATAAGTTTTAGAAGACACCAATGAGTGAATACATCTGTGCCATTGTGACCGATTTTCAGTCATGTCGCCAAGTGTCCTCAACCACTGATTCCTTCTGTCTCAGGGACCCCAACCAGGTAGTCTACATCTCCCCACACGACTCAAGCCAACAGTCAGGGACTTCATCGACTGGTGCCAGGTCTTGGTCTAGCTACCGTGAACTCCTTTACATTCTAACCCAACTTCCCCTAGCGTTTCACGTCGAGGTAGGTAGGTGGTGACCCAGCATGTGTAGTACATGTCCAAGCCATTTCAGTCGATGAAAGTTCACAACCTCATCAATCGATTTGTCTGTTTTGCCAACTTCTGTCTTAGCACAATACTGTAACTACACGAGAACTAGCAATTGAATCGACATAAGCTTGAAGAGTGGATTTCGCACACTCACCATGTTGGTTGGGTGAGGGTAAATGAATAACCACACTTGCATCCTGTATACGTGTCTCACAAACACGGTATATGTACATTTCCTAAGGAGTCAGAGTTTTGAATAATAAAGCTTGTTAACCAGTTGGACTAACCGTAGGGATATTGGAAGCTGTGATGTGTTAATTGAAGTGTGGTTTTAGCTTCAGCATAATTCCCGATCTTCACCAGCTTCTAAAAGATCGTATGTGGATTGTTTTAAAAATGTATTTGTATAAAACAGGGTGAAGTTGGAAATACCGAATTCATATATTGCTAGTAAATTTTTAATGCAAAGTTTACACAATGGTAAGTTTTTGTTTTTGTAATATTTCGAGCAAAATTATTGCCCGTGATCACACCAACAGTTGGAATATTTTAGCAATATTTATTTCTAAATGTTACCAAAGTAAAAACTAATCATTGTGTAAACCTTGCATTAAAAATTTACTTGCAGTGTATGAATTCCATATTTCCAACTTCATCTTTTTTCCAGTTTTTCCGCCTATCCTTGACATTACGTATACGAGAATCTCACCTATGTTCAAAACCCTGTAACCTTTTCGTATGTTTGTCTCTGAATGGCCATATTTCACAGCGGCGTAATAGGGTAAAATAAACTACTGCGAATTGTACACATCCTTCGATGTGTGGTCAGACATTTCACCGACGTTACAAGAGGTCAGAGTTGACAAATGAAGACGGCTCTTTTGTAGTTAAATTGAGATTTCGTTAGCAACCGACCCATCCGTGCTGATGCAACTCAAGTAAATAAAGTAATCAGTGCTCTTAATCTTCACTCAACAGGTCACTGGTTCCGACCATGCTTTATTGGTATTTTGACAGTCTGGTTATATGATAAGTCTGCTAACAATATTAATGGCTCTTTGTAGATATGCGACTGATTGACCTAAGCATCTGGTTTTCACGCATTAGATCCTGGATTCAGATCCCCCTCCACCTACTTGTGTTTGGGAAACCAGATAGACCATAAGTTCCCATGTTTTAAGTGTCGTGTATAGACCTGTACCGAGTTGAGTTTCATGAAATTAGTTTTCAAGTGGCTCACAGTGTAAATGAACTTATGGGCGGTTTCTGGATTGCATCGCATTTCCTAAAGCCGACTTGTTCAGCGGTCAAAACATGAAGTTTTGTGGATGATTCAAAGTGTCCATCTCTAAGTCGCTTAGTTTAGTTTTGCTCTTCTTGCTGAAATACAACTTGAATCAACCCCTGACAACATTTGGTTTACAGGGAACAAACTAATGAATCACTGATCAGTATGTACGCGCTAAAAGGTTTCGAAGTGTTGCTACCACGTCGCTGGATTTTTCTGATACAGTTACATTTTAAATTCATCTACTGTATGGTTACACCATAATTTGCTTTCGATTTTCAGATGATCAACTGAGCCTTTGTTGCGTGTGTGGTCAAACATTTCCGAGTATCAAATCTCTCCATACGCATATCAATGTTGTACACGAAGGTAGGTTGACCCAATATGTGTTTATACATATCCACAGTAATTCATTGTAAATGCTTATGTTTGTAGCGGACTTAAGGGTAAAGAAATAATATTAAGTGGTAAAAGTAATTATGTGAAGAACACTGTTGATATGACTCAAAATCATACCCTAATACATGTGTTTTACGTACGTTTCTGAAACTAGCTTTCAAATAGCATTTTATGAACAATTTTTCTCATGCCTATCTGTACTATTTCTGTCATGAGTTCTTGATAGATGTAGCAGTTTAGACCAAAGTGTGTTATTGTGAACATTGTTAGCTTTATGTTTATCAGAATTATACATTTGTTCCAGTTTATTTCACTCTTATTTGTTCTGTAATATGCGTATGAAAGCAATGCTTTACTGATTCAGGTCTTACAGAGTTCCAGACAACCACTTCATAAGTACGTTTAAGACCAGAATGGGATTATTTACTTGATCATTCACAACTAATATTGGCATTGTGTAGGGTTCCACGTAGTTTTTGTCTTTTGGGCGGAAGAATGCTATGACTTATTAACGGCTTGTATGCTTACAAGTTTCTCACCCTTAGTTCGAATGATAAGAAGGACATTAAATATGTAACTTGGTAAAAACTTGTCACTGAAATGATGATCTAAGTTACTACACTTCTAAAGACTACTACGAAAGACATTTACGTCACGAAAAGATATGATAGAAAACTTGAAAAATAAGAAAGTGTAAAAGTAATGTAAATATTGCAAGTGTGAAGATAATTTTAAGCTCTGCTTCTCCTGCTCTGAAACAAGAGGTTAACAAATTCTTAGTTTGATACTACTCTCTGGTCCAGCCTACCCCAAAACTTCCACTCAAAATATTAAAACAGAATGCAAAGCAAGTGGGTAAGTGTACTCCCTATATCAACTATTCAGGCCAACGGTTATTTAAGGCCCCATTATCCAAGTTAGCTTCCCTATGCAATGTAAACACTGCTTACTTCGTTAGTGCCCCAAATACAAGCGGTTATGACTTCGAAAGTTCCAATGCAGTCGTATTCGGTGAGTTCACTGACTGAAAGACACGAGTGATATTTTCAGCTCATGAAACTTATGTTGATAACCTATTACAACTGTGTTCTAGTGCGAACTAGGCAGATGTGAACCCCACCACCTAGCATAATTGTGCATCTGTCCCAGGTTACCATGATATGCATTCTGTCGCAGAGGAAATCGACGTGTATGAAAATATCTAAGTGAAAACGAAACCTAATTCATGCGATGATTTCTTCACAAGCGAGTGATACTGAGAAAGAAATACTGGTGAAATATGTTGAGCCTTCACAAATCCTCAAAAAAATCAGTTATGTTTTAGTGTCATATAGTAGTACTGAGTGGGTTACTGCACACTACACTCGATGTGTAAAAACTATCGTGTATGTTACTGGTGTTATTAATCGCCATCCCATGCGACTATATGGCTTTTCAGAGAGCTAATGTTTCAATGTTCTCATTCATTGCCACTTCCCACTTAAATAAAGAAAAAAAAGGTTCAAAACAGTTCAGTAACAGAAGATTCTTATGGAGGTCTCCCTCTCGTCACCTGACTACACAGAGGTTGACCTAATCGAGGGAGAATTTTCTTTAGACCTAGAATGCACAGATGAAATAGTCCTGTTAAGTGAAGACGTTGACAAGATGCAGAGTCTTCTGAACACTTTCAGTGGTAATTTGAAAATGTTTGGGATGCGTTTCTTACCACCCAAATGCAAATTGTTGCTCCAGGATTGGTCTTCAGCGGTGCCTTGGCTAACAATAGAGAGCGTAGTGATTGAATGTTTCGACCACTTCACTTACCTGGGAAGTAGGATCAGCCCTAGTGGCTCAGTGGCCGACGAAATTTCTGCACGAGTACAAAAGGCTCGACCAGCTTTTGCCAACTCACGCCACCTATGGCGCCGCCTTGATATCGGATTGTCTATTAAGGGTTGCGTGTATTGCACAGCAGTCCGCTGTGTTCTACTGTATGGCTGTGAAACGACCATCGAAGGTGGAAGACATGAATGGGCTTCAGGTGTTTGATCACCGTTGCCTTCGTAGTGCATGTCGTATTCCGTGGTGTCACCACGTGAGTAACGCAGAAATCAGGTGTAGAGTTTTAAGAAGAAGAGGTAATCAGTTGAGGAGGTTATGAACCTTCATTGACTGAGATGGTTGGGACACGTGTTATGTATGCCTAGTCGCCGTCTGCCTCGTCATACAATGTTGGCCGAAGTAGATTCAGGCTGGAAAAAGCCCTGAGGCGGCATCGGTGTATGAAGTCATTAACTGTTGGTTTGAGCTGTGGCAACTCGGACCGTTACGTAGTAATGCGTGGTCCTATTTTGATTTGGATGGATAATGGTTTGAGCCATGTGGGGTTATGCAGACTAGCCGGTTGGGGTCTGCGGGAAAAGAGGAACCAGTGGTTGGAGACTCTAGGCGATATGGCTGAGAACCGATGTCAGTGGCGCAGATGTATACACACATTATCTTCATCTTAACGAGGCTATAGCGAATCTCACCATTTCCTCATTCTTCCTCTATCTTCTTGTACTTGATATTTCTTTTGACTGGATTTTCTTTTCTTCATCTTCCACCTCACTACCTCTTTACTTGAAGTACTGATGAGCTGTGGCAACTCGGACCGTAACGCAGTAATGCCTGGTCCTGTGTTAACAGATGATGATGAACAAAAGATTGCATTCAGGAGATGAGAAACGCAGACACGTTGACTGTTTTTGTGTTCAAAACTTATTTTGTCAGTGTCTTTTGCTAAATCTTTTCCAAGGGAGCAGAGATACCTGACTGATGCCACTCTATATAGAAGACAGTTCACTACCAGCTTTGATGCAGGTTAGTGTAAATTGAGAACCTTCAGGTAATATGATTGATAGATACTCCATTTTAATTGGGAAACTTTCTGAGACATCAGTTAGTGTTAGCGTGGTGCATAAAATTACTGCATTACAGTCTGTTTCTACAACTCATATCAGCGAATTAGGCTGATAGCCAGTCTTCATGGTTTGACTTCATAGAATGAATCTAAAGCTATGTTTCCTAGTTTCCTGACCCAGACTGCTTCTCCATTTCATATAGCAAGATGAAATTGAGCAAAAGGATAAGCTTGATAAAAATGAACCGTATGGATCACATGTTTGCGTTAATATTTTCAGTTTTCATTTACTTGGTTATTCAGAATAAGTCTTAGTTTAACCACTCACATTATCGTTTTTTTGGAATCGCAGTCGTGTGAAGATTGTTGGCGGGCAGGCATTTCAGAGGTTGTGTATAGTTCGGTCTTATGAAGGAATGAAAAGACTGTCCCCATCCACTGCACTAATGCATTTGATGGCTTCGTGATGCATAGTAAAGACGATATTTATTGTCACTTAGTGTCAACTCGCAGGTTACACCTGGTAAAACGGCCAAATCTAACAATAATTCAGACTCCGTGGTCTGATTGTGCCACCAAGTAAATTTTTAAAGTTAACTGGATTTAGGGTTATAACAATGATCGGTGTAGACTTCATGATTAATTTCATTGACTTACTAATTATCGGTTCATTTTTTTCTTCAGAAGTTGCAGACTCTTTTGATTTCCATTCAGTAAATGGTGAAAATGATGACTCTCCTTCTGTGAGTTAACATTTTAAAAACGGATCTTCAGTTCATTTCGTGGTAGTTGTTTCATATACATTTAGTGTTTGTTGAAGGTCGTATCTTGTTCTGTTTGATGAATAATGTTTATAAGACGTTTGTAAAGCACTTATTTTGTATTGGCTTTTGTCATATATAAACATGGGATAACTATGAAATAAATATTCCCAATAAAAATCCAAGTATAAAATCTACAATCGCAATCACACTTAAATATGCTGGTATTGAGAAAACTTAAGTTCATTTTACCATTCAAATTCTAGGTAGGTGTAGACTTTAAATCTGTGACGTTATTGTGGATGCATAAACACTGGATTTGTTCAGCCAAAACACAATTAAAATCTCTTAAAAACTCTCATTACTTACTAAGACATTCGTCAATGTTTTTTAGTGCTGAAATAAAAGCTGGGGTTTTAATTGCTCTCAGATGATAAGGACTCCAACAGGGAAAAGTCTTTTCCGGTCCCCATTCACTGATATTTATTGTCAGTTTTTTTCTGTTTGAATGGAGCTTTGGAATTAGGAAAATAAATGATGAGATTTACGTAAATGAATTTTTTCAGTGCACTTGGTTATCTATTCACCAACGTACACTGTTGGGGAATGAAAGTGATTTCTTAGAATGAACGGCTGTGATTGTGGATTGATGGTGAAGTCATTGCGACGGGATATGGTGCCCTTTTCTTGTTGCTGATGTGTTGATGCTGTGATCCTTGTTTTTTGCCAACAAACGTTAGATGGTGTGCTGTTTTATTAGCTACTTTGCTTCAGATTACTCAATAGTTAAATAACCAAATGTTTTTTTTTGAAATTTTAAACTACCAACAATAAATACAATTTCCTCTGCAAACCAGAAAATTTATATTTTTGTTTACTGTGCATGCGTAAATGTTGGTCTTTCTGATAGACATAAAAGAGATTTCGAAGGATGAAAATTGCTTTCACTTTGTCATGGATCAACCGTGCTAAAGTAAACTTTTTCAGAAGTGTGGTTAGATTATTTTTGTTGATGATTCAATAAACTTTCAGAGTTTAGTGTCTCTCATCGGTTGACTGGTATGATAAATTTCAACATAGTTGCAGATTATTTTTAAATATTTATTTATTTATTCGAATACAAACATGGTATAGCAGGAAGACCAAAAAATGCTCCACGTAAAATAATGTAACCACATGATGACAAAGCGAAGGGAGGTGGATAAATAAAAAAGCAAAACAAAATAAGAAGAGAATGCTCGGAAAGCCAGTAGCGGAAGATAGAAGGAAGCTGCAGCATAACCTTCACTGGTTTTGATTCTAAACCGTATCTGATACCGTCTCAAGCCCCACTGAGTTGCATGATCTCTCGGACTCCACTCAGAGTGTCGTGGTGCATCGATAGATGTTAACGCTGTACAACTATCCTTCGCGATGATGGAGAATATTTGTAGTGTAGGAGGATGAGTTTGATGGTGTTGTGTTCTCCGAACTGGATGATTTAATCGTAAAGCTTTCATTGTCATTCTAGACAACATCATCATCACAAACTTCAGAAAGGAGTGAGCTGTGGGGTTTTCTCTGAAAGTGGCCTGGTAGCTTATCCTGATGGCTTTGTGTGTGATTGGTTGTTTCTACCGGTTTTGTTATTGTCTTCATATTTATTCCTATTAGCTTTCCGGCTGGCGTGAACTTTGACCTTCTCATTGCTTATTAGAGGTTGATGGGTTGGGTCAATGTTAGTTTATTTGTTGATCGCTTTTAAAAATCCTCTGCCATTCATTGTGTTTCCTCCATTCAGGATTTCCACGTTTTCCCAGTCAAATTAACGTTCACATACATATCGACATCGACCTAATTCACCAATCAATCATCAAACAACAAGAAGGTCAAAGTTCACGTCATCAAGTAAACCCGTCGGAATAAATATGGAGACAATAACAAGACTGGCAGAAACAACCAACCACGCTATCATCGAGATAAGCTACTAGGCCACTTTCAGAAAAAATCCCATAGCTCACTCCTTTCTGAAGTTTGTGATGATGATGTTGTCTAGAATGACAGTGAAAGCTTCACGATTAAATCATCCAGTTCGGAAAACATAACACCATCACAACTATTCTTCATCCTACGGTGCCACTTCATACACTGACCACGTCTCCGCATCTTCCATCCAGTCCCAGTTAGCAAACAATGAACGGTGTGGAAGCCGCCGGGACGACATGCGTAACATATGTTCAAGCCACCGAAGTGGATGTTTTCAGATGAATTCACTTATTGAATGAGGATCTCCATCACGCTGTCGTACCTCAGGATTACTTACATGGTGTTGCCACCGGATAAGAACAATCGCACGGAGACAACGATGGTCGAACACAGTCGTTGCATATCCACATCTCGGAGAGGCCAGGTTTCACAGGCGTAGAACAGAACTGCTCCCACCGAAGCGTTGTAGACGTGACCTTTTACAGTCAGACATGTGATGGCACCAAAGGTGGCTCAGATTGGCGTATGCCACTCTGACCTCCGATATGCGGTTAGAAACTTCGTCACTCACTTTCACCAGCACTCATAAAACTACCCAGATACATGAACTTTTTGACTACTTCCAATGCCTCACCACCGAGAGTAAATGCAGGTACAGGCTCTTGACAATCTTGAAAAAGTACTTTGCATTTCGATAGCACGAAGCACATACCATACTTAAGGACATTAATCGCCAAGTGATTGAGGGTAATCTGAGTAAACTGTCTGTTATTGCATAGTAACATGATGTAATCCGCATATTCAAGGTCAGATGGTCGTTTTCCGGGTAATAGATGCACATCACCTTCGTGCACCTCCTTTAGAGCTGTCTCAAGAATGTCGTCTATAGTAAAGTTAAAGAGGAATGGGGAAATCGGCATCCCTGTCTAACCTCACTGCTGGTTTGGAACAATGGAGATAGGTGGTTCTATCCCGTCACTGTACCTGAGCTGTTATTATATAGGGAATGTTAATAAATTTCTCAGTCACACCCCGATCTAACAGAGTTTCAGATTTAAGGTCTATCCAACTAATGGAAGGTAGCCCTAATGTTAAGGAACACAACGATTGTTGGTCTGAAAGATGTGCGGTGACGTTCAAGCCTCTAGCGGAGGGTAAACATGATCAATTCATCCACGACCTGAACGAAACCTGGTCAGCTCCTTGCAAATCATCTTCTCACGTGTTTCGCAAAGTCTGCAAAGTATAATAGCAGCGAATATTTTTGATGCAAGTGGTAACAGACTAATACCCCGATAATTGTCGACTACCTTGCGTAGGCTCCTTATAAAAATCGGCACAACAATGGCCTCATTCTCGAGTGATAGAACACTTTGAGTCTGCCATACCTTCTCATAAGATCTAGTCAGTTCTCTAACTCGTATCATTCCTCCATCCCTATGGGTAAGTTGTCTGGACCGGGTGGTTTGTCGTGTTTTAGAACTTGGAGTTTTACACATACGAAAATGGGATTTAGGGGAGAAATTTTAAAGCATTCAAATAAAAAACCTAGTTGGGGAGATGAGTATCGGGTGAAAAATTTGTGCTTTTTACGGTCAGGTAGAAAATCATTTCATATGTATATATAACTAGTATCAATTGTAGATCATGTTACTTACCTTTTCCAGTTGTCGATTTCTGCTGTTTCTGTGATTCCATCTATCTGTAGGTCCTTCAAGTGACTGTATCCCACAGTCTATAACTTATTAGGTTGGTGTTTTATTTTTATCTAATTTGCCTAAGTCTTTATCTGTCTCAACCAGGATTCCATGCCCACATCTTCTGTGATTGATGAATTACCCTACCTTTTTCAAATGTCTCAATCATTGCAGTTTAACTATTTCACTAGTCAGTTAACTTCTATGGTTTTACGATCCTTCATCTGGTAATACCACAATGTGAAGACTTTTAAACCAAGGTTTTCTATCGCGCAAGATTTGGCCTACTTAAAGGAGCATTTAGTTGAATAAATGTTACTGTATTACGTTACCCTCTTTCCGCATTCATTTCTCATCCCGTTGTAATTGTAGAGTAAAGGTTATCCACTACTTTAATCAGATTTATTAATAAAGGAAAGATGCAGTTTGTTTCCATGGGATCAAGTGTACAGCTTTTGAATGTTAAACAATATATTTATTTGAAAGTTTTTTCATTGTTGAGTGCTTTTATCACATCACCACTGCATGTCAGTTGGCAACAGTTTGTGCAGTCAATAACTTTCATCTATGTGTATTCTCATTATATCGCAGGTTACTTTGGGTTCTCGAGTTTCTCTATCTTCCAGCAGTGAAGAATTTATACCCAGTAAGCTACTTCTCTCTAATCTCATGCCAAACAATTTTAGATAATTTGATAAGGATATTTTTAATCAACCTATAAGACAATTAACAAATAGTTAAAGCTATTTTCTCATTACTGAAGAAAAAGTTGAATGACAACTTAATCCAAATATACTTAACTGATAACTTAATAATTTGTTTGTCCGAATTTCCTTTCTAAACAGAAGATTTGTTTTCTGGTATCCAGTGTTACCCGAATGATAGCTTCTCTCTTGACCTGGTGGTCGGGCTTGTATGTCACAATGACCCAACAAGCTCTGCTGATGTGGCATTTGTTCTTTTGAGGTCCTATCATTTCAGAAAGGTATGTTGGATGAATAGTGGTACGACAAAAAGCAGTTATAGTGTAAATAGCTGGGCTATGATGCTGTTCTGAGGGTGGAATTGTACCAGTGATTGGAAGTGGGTATATCGGCAGTACGATGTTTTCCGTGGATAACCAGTAATCCGTGCTAGTGTTGCTTCCCGTATAGAAACGGTGGGGTTTAAGAAAGGTCATTTACGAAAATAGCTCATTCCTTCACGTCCTTTTGCATTCTATGCGGAAGTTATGGTTTTCTAATTGGATTTAAGTCTCAAACTGATGTCCGTTGGGATCTGTAGTCACGCAAAACCTATTCCTATTGTCTTTTATTAACTTTAACGGCGTGGGCAGCCAGAAAGTGTTGAATGCTTTCACAACTCTGTCAGTAGTCGGCTCACTATCAATCTTTTGATCCTTCCCAGCGTCTTTCCGTCAACATTTCTACGTCATCGTTTATTTGTACCAGCTCAGCGGTCATTGATAACGTTTGGTGTTCACTGAACAACATCCCTAGTCTCTTGAAGTTGCACTACAGACAACATCGGAGCTTTAAATATCCGTACCCTCAAGTAGCTTCACTAGCTGAAACTCTGACTCCTTAGGAAATGTACATATACCGTGTTTGTGAGACACGTATACAGGATGCAAGTGTGGTTATTCATTTACCCTCACCCAACCAACATGGTGAGTGTGCGAAATCCACTCTTCAAGCTTATGTCGATTCAATTGCTAGTTCTCGTGTAGTTACAGTATTGTGCTAAGACAGAAGTTGGCAAAACAGACAAATCGATTGATGAGGTTGTGAACTTTCATCGACTGAAATGGCTTGGACATGTACTACACATGCTGGGTCACCACCTACCTACCTCGACGTGAAACGCTAGGGGAAGTTGGGTTAGAATGTAAAGGAGTTCACGGTAGCTAGACCAAGACCTGGCACCAGTCGATGAAGTCCCTGACTGTTGGCTTGAGTCGTGTGGGGAGATGTAGACTACCTGGTTGGGGTCCCTGAGACAGAAGGAATCAGTGGTTGAGGACACTTGGCGACATGACTGAAAATCGGTCACAATGGCACAGATGTATTCACTCATTGGTGTCTTCTAAAACTTATCTGCAAACCGCTTGCTTTCTCGCACAACGTTTTCGACTTTGATATCACTCCTTTGTATCCACCTGTTTTTTGTGTACTGTGAATTGTGGCAACTTGAGCAAATACATCTGTGTGCAAAGTTCCACTTTGATTTTGCCAGTCAGTTGTGTCTCCTCACATTAAAGAACAGAAGCAGCATATACGTAAACTAACGAAGAATCTTTACAAGAATCTTGGGAGATGGTTAGTGGTGAAGTCCAAAGATATTGAGATGGCATCAGTATTCGGTAATGCTTGACAGGTAACTAAGGTTATTTTGGATAATGGGATGGAAAACAGTTAGATAATTGTCGGAAAACATGAGTGCCTGATAACTGCTCAGAACACGCGGCTAAGACTTTGAGCGGAGCACCTTGAAGAACGGAACAACCGGCCCACAGAAACGCTTCAGTTGGCCAACATTCAGCCCAAACGTGAGTGGGACGTAGATGTCAGTCCTCCAGCTCTCATTGAAGTTGAGAAGGTCGCGGCGAATTTAAAACTATGCAAAACAACAAGACTTGGCGGTTCTCCAACGGAAGTCTTAAAGAAGCGAGGTTGGAAATTGTTGATTAGAGTAACGGGGTTGGTGTGCTGTGTATGGAAATCGGAGGCACCGCTGTCAGAGTGGTTTACTTGATTGATCATTTCAGTCCATAAGGAAGAAGAGAAGTCTTTTTGTGACAACTATAGGTGGATCAGTTTGAATGGTATTGTGTGCGAGATGCTGGGTTTCATAGTTATGCGACACATAACTGGAGCTGGATGACAGCAAACTAGAGGAAACCAGGAGGGTTTTAGAAATGGAGGAGATTGGATCGATCATATCGTCACGATTTGAGAAGCTTAATTACGGGTGGCCAATATTTGTTGTGTTTCGCTTATTTGAAAGTGGCATTTGATTGTGTCGAGTGAGAGGTGTTGTGACATTGTCTGACTGTGAAGAGAGTAGTGAGCAAAAACGTAGTGCTGATTATAGCTCTCCAGTGGAGCTGACACATCCATGTAAGGGTATATAGAGAATTATCCCCATAATTGACAGCAACTATTGATGTCTATCAAGAATGCTCACTATCACTGTTCCTGCTTAACTTTGTTATAGATTTGCTAATAGACATAACCTAACTGGGATCGAATTTTGGGCCATCTGTTTGTCTTAGAGTAAGTAGATTACATTATCACTAGGCGAAAATGCTGATAGAATACAGAGTCTTCTGAACACAGCAGAAATATGAGTATGTTTTCTATCTGTCAAATGTAGGATGACGCTGAAAACTGGCTAGCTCCGATTTCTAGTCTAAGAAGAAATTGAAGTAGTTGGATGTGTTAATCATTTCACTTTGGACATTGCATCGGTCTCAGTGATGGTTGTTGATGAGATCTCAGCTTCTGTTACAAAATTGCCGTGTTGCACTTGCCAAATTTCGCTATCTATGACTCCACCATGCAGTATTACAATGTAACGTCTGATGTGGCTTGCTTACTGACCTGTCATTGGCTTTAGTAAAATGGTCAGATAAAGATGGATTTCATCAAAAAAGTTGAAGTCTCAGGCCGTGTGTTGGAATGTAATTCCATAGTAAATCAATTTGTTTGAAATAGCGCATGGAGACAGTGTTATTTGCTGTGTAGTGTGTCAAATAAACTAATCTATAATGTAAAACAAACAATGTGAGCGAAGAAATATTTCTTTTCAATTAGTTCCTCATCAATGGCTCTACACTAATATAGCATTTTCAAACGTAAAATTACATACCAATCTAGTGGTGAGAGTTGTTCAGTGAAAGGTTATCAATCTCAAAGTTTCAAGAAGGTGATAATTGGTCAGGTAATTAAGACAGTTAGCTAAAGCAAAGATTAATTATCGTAGAAAGATTTTGCGAACAGGTTCTTACATAATTGATATTTTATATAATGATAACTAAAGAGCAAAAATGAACTGTTACGTAAAATGGTAAATTGTTGACGGTAATTAGAGACAGTAGGGGGAGAGAAAGATGATTAAGTCTGTAATAATAATAATAATTATAATAATAATAATGGAGCTATTGAAATACTAGTTATAGTGAATTGTGTGGTGGATGAAATGAAGAGTCTTGTTGTAATAAATGAGCTATACAGATGGCCAAGGCAAAGAAAGAGGCTGTACGAATCTCTTCTGAACACACAGACTTGGCTTGTGTAGGTGGATTCCTATGGCTTCTGCTGTATGTAAAAGACGGACTCGTAGAGGATGGGTGAGGTGAGAAGGAATGTGATAAATAACTTTAAAGGCATTATGAATGTTAACTCGGTGGCCGGTGTCAATCAGATGAGAGAGTATTGAGCTTCGTGTCAGTCTGGTTTCCCCCTTACTTAGCCATGAAGGATGATGCTCGGCGATTCGACGACGGACTTGCCTAACTGTACGTCCAATGTATGTTCAATGAAAGATGTACTGTACTGTCTTGGTAAATCGAAGTAGTAATTATGCTGTGTCAATGCATTGTCAGTCTGTTCGAAAAAAACGGAAATGCACTCAGGTAACCATGTGCACTGTCGTGCAACAGACAATGAGCGACACCTATTGTGTAACGACTAGTGATACTACCTGACTGCCTTAACCTCGGTTGGAGGAGCGGGGTTTGAACCCGTGGCCTACTAGTTGGAAGCCAACTGCATAAACCAACGAACCACAGCTCCACATATCAAACTGTTTTGCTGTTTCAGAGTAAGAACACACTTGGAAGTTGATAAAGAGTTGAATACATTATAGAAATTAATTCTTTATGGAATAATAGTTTATTTTCTATTTCTTACATCGATTTATTTACACTGAGCACAAAAATGTGGGAACTCGAGTTACTGAACATATGTTCTCAGTTCTTCCTAATGTAAACATGTGTTGCATCATGTGCATTCCTTCACTAGATGATTCATATTTGTAACAAATTCCCTTGATAACTCCGTTGAATTTTCTCACTTAGGATCAGAAACTTCAGTCGTCTGTGCAAATTGTAAGAACACATTTCCAGATATGACAAGTTTACGAGCTCACATCAACACTGTACATCATGGTAAGAGCTTGAATCATTTTTGAAACACTCAACTACTTCCCTGTATAAACATGTTGATTTATTGATCATATCTAGAATGTTTTGTCACTATTTTTCACTGCAAATGCATATTTAAATAGTTGGCCAATCGTTAAAAACCAAGAACTCCGAAGTGTTGTATATTTCATTCTACACTGAGATATTTTTGCAGCTGCAACTTTTATCTGTGTGTGGAAATCAGTATGGTGATCGGTTAAATGCACACTAGACTGCATTATTGATCTAGATACGTTCGCCTACGACTTGATTCAGTTAACTCATTGTGATCGAATGATGTCTCTTCCGAGTTTCTAATGAATGGATACTCAAGTCCCAAACTGCTAACCAACTGACTATGTCTGTCTATAATACTTACTACTGTTAATATTAAAATCCAAGAACGGTTATCATTCGAAGAGTAAAACGATCATTTATATCGAGAGAAAAAAATGAAACGCATTCAACCACAATGCTCACTTTTATGCAGTAGGCAGTAGGCCAATGATACAACCTGGCTACTCAAGCCTCGGTAATGATTATGATCTGACTATAAGGTAAATATTCGACCAGGCATTATATGAAGGTTAGCGGACAGTTAATTGTACCACTATATCTAAGCCTACAGTTTAATCCGCTGTAACAGATGCTTCACCAACTCAAGATATGTGGCGAGTAATTTATTCTCCAACCTCACTTGGATCTAATCTAGTGACTAACATCCGTCACCTCGGTCAACTCGTGATCCGGTACAACCCGCATTCTCAGTTTTATACTTTGGCACGTTTACAGTACAACTTATGTAATCTCACAGATTTTGATTTCGCATAATAACCACTATCTGCAGTTCTTCCGACTGTCTACCCAATAGAGGATCGCGTGATTGTTAGATCACTTCAATGTAATAACCATTCCACCAATCATGTAAAATTATTTCCTTAAAAGTACTGTTACATTCATATACTAAGAGTTTTACACACATTAAAAAAATAAGTAATCTAATGCAACCCAGATTCATGTTTTAGGTTATAGGCTACACCTATTGTATGACGACTTATGACATTACCCTGTTGCCTACACTGATGTAGTTAATGGTTATGAAGCAATTACTGATTTTAAGAAATATTTGAATAAATGATAGATTAGTGGACTAACATTTTATGGCCGGGTGGTTCATGCTTACGAGAACAGAATTGTTAACTAATTGGTAGCACTAGATTTGTAACTTTTGCCATAACTGAGTTGTAATCAAGGAGACTGATACAATTATCGTAACGTTTAATCAGCTGAAACTTTTGCTTATACCCAGTGGATAAAAGTAAGCCTTACGTGAACAGAACTCAAACAAATAAAGAGGTTACAAAGCAACCAATCACATCTTACTAAAGTATATTACGGTATTTTACTGTCTGTCGTACTAAGAGAAAGCTATTTGAGACTGAAACCCATTGTTTCAAAGTCTAATACCAAGAAGGGAGGTGTTCATTTTCTTCCGAAATATAAAACATGCTGAAAGTATTTGAAGGGTTTAGTGATAAACGACCATTTCTTTGAAAAATGGAACTGTTAACTGTTGTATATAATTGGTAAGGTAAGAGTGTAAAAGACAATTGAGATATAGTATCAATCGTTGAAACTTCCCAACTTACTGGCGAAATGGATAGTTGGTCAAATAAATACATACAAACCTATGAGAATCTCAATTAGACTCCGTGGGCAAGTCAAAAGTATTACTCTTTTATTGTATATACCGTTATATTAGCGTTAGGCGCAGCTACTTAGGTAACATATTAAATGATATCTTCAGGCTTTTTTAAAAATTCGTAGCAAATGTTCAAAAGTACTTGAAGATAAGCAGTATAAACTATTTAAGACTAATTATATGTTTTTATTTCTTCAGAGTAGTGGAAAAATTTAAGTCACGCTTACAATGAACTCTTGATCAACTTTGCAGTGAAAACAAAGCGTGTTTCATTTATATGGATCATATGGAATTGTGGATTAATTTGTGATTTGAATATACTCACACTTTTTATCTTTTTAACTTTACCGGCTTTGCTGCTTTGTAATTAATTACATTCTGATTGTCTTTCCATCCATTAGGTAATCGAACAGCTCAGTGTGATGTATGCATGAAAATATTTTCCACCCCTTCTTATCTTCGAATGCATATCGCCACTGTTCATGAAGGTTAGTTATCATTTCAGACATTTTGTGGATAGTTTTTCAACTATTTAAAACCAAAGAAGCAAGCGCAAGAACTTGATTGTAGCAATTCAAGAAAACAGTAATTAAAGCATAGGCTTAGAACAATACTATACGTCCTACTGCAAAATATCCGCATTTAGTCGTAATTATCTGCGGTTATAGCGAAAATAATTATCTTCTCGACGATTCATTTTCGAAGCTATACATTGGTAAACATTGAGTTCATAGAATAGAAAGCTGCAGCGGAATAAACAGTCAAAGTCGATTAAACAGGGAAGTCTAGCAACTGGGTATAGGAATGTTATGTCACAGCTAAAATTCTGAAAAATTCCAGATAGTTGTTAAATAAAAATACAAAGACAAAAAACATGAGAAAAACCAACTAATAATAACTTTCTCTCTATCTAGAATGTCATAAAACAAGTAAAAAACAAAAATGATAATGCAGCAGATTTAAGACTACGCTAAAGAAAGTGACTTTACATATTTCTTTTGAATATATAAGTGAGGCTTGAATTTGTAGACTGTCATTATTATCCCACGTTTATGTGGCCTACCAAAAATGTACAGAAGTCCGTCTGTATCGTATATAAGATACGACAAACTCTTCATACTATACAGTAGCTAACTGGCTTGTAGAAATCCTTGAACCTATGCGTAAGCTGTTTTTGAAATATAGCCTTTGTGACAAATTTGAGTCTGTTGAGTTAATCAAGGATAATAATTTGTCCGGAAAGAGAATGATTTCAATAAGTACTGTGTCACTTCACAAATGTTTTGCCAACAGAAACCATTAGTTTCTTAAGCACCTTTATTCATTTAGAAAATGTTGGTCTGCCTAACTATTACTTGAAAACAGTTTACTATATGTGCGTTGAACATTCTCATCTGATTTAATGACGAAATCTATGGACAAATGTATGATAGCAAGGGGGTCACTTCTGGCTGATTGTTTTATGGTTAACCTAAAAAGTAGCATTTTACTTCCAACAGTTGCTACGCTAAGGTGGGGGTCTGAGGGCGAAGTCGTACTCCTGACGGAATGGAGTGTGACAGCAGTAAGGTGTTTCCCTCGGATGATCACCAGCGCTACGCTGATGCTGCCTTCTTTACGGTAAGAGAGGGTTCGAAAAGGTCGGCCTCCAAAATAACTTACTCCTATCGCCCGATGGCATGTCGATGCTTGCGAAAAAATCATAGTCGGATTCAAAAGCAGAAAACCAAGCTCTCAAATTTACCTCAATCAGACGTCCCTTGGGCTCTGCGATCAGTCACTAACCCTCCTTTTTTAGGTACCTCAAGAAAAGCTAGCCTTACTTAATGTGAAAATTGTCAACCGCCCGCACGCTTCCAGTAGATCCAATCAAACATAACATATACTCCTCAGCCCTGTCTCCTCCCTTACCTTCATTTCCTGATACTGATAATAACCCTTTTACACCTTTCTCAACTTCTCGCTCTACGACCATTGCCAAAGATCAGAGCAATCGAAACCTCATTCCTGTCCTCCTAAGACACCAGCATCGATTTCCTGAGGAGCTTTGAAAGTCCAAACTCTGCCAAATTAGACATCTAACATCGCTCAACAGAACTCTGGAATCTAAAATCATGAGTGAATGTTATATTCCTGAAGCACATATGTAGTACTCGAATGGGGTTATTATATAGACCTCAAATGACTATAGTGGTGACTTTTCTAAATTCACCTTAGGAGTATCCGGAGACCCAACGACTAGCGCTTGTGGATTCACTGGTGTAGGCGTAGCATTGAGTCACTATTATGATTCGAACACTATACCGCCGCTAACGGTGCACGTATATCAAGTGTCAGCCACCAACGTTCAACAAATTTCTAGTTGATTCCCGACCCGACTAATTAATGGGGAAGATACGATGGACGTTTAGAAACGTGTATTGGGGTTGAAAAGACCGAAGATCAAAAACAGGAAAACATATCTAATTTATGGATGGTCCGCTGTTTAAAATAATAATATAGATTGACTGATCCACCGTCTATCTGTCTAACTGTAGACTTGATCATATAAAGTACATTTTGATTGGTCCCTCTCCAGACTAGCCTTTTCTGTCTGTTCCCATATCAGTTGTAGAGCAGAAAGTGCACTTCTCTACCGTTTGTGTGCTGTTCGATTGAATTGATCTGTTAAAGTTAGGAAAGATCGTGAGATTAACCGGTGCCTCTTCGTAATCTCCGTCTACGTCCCCACTAACTGCAGGTCAGACGATGCAAAAGGTGAATTCTATCATCAGCTGTCAACTTTGCTACGTGCAGCCAGACGTTTAGCTGTAGTCATAATGGCAGGTGACTTTAAAGCTCAATCAAGTTGAGAAGCTGAGCAAATGGGAAAGGCATCTTGCGGAATCCCATGTCAATGAACCGACAAGGAATTGTCGTCGGCTTCAATTTTGTCCCGACGATCATTTGTTTTAGGCAAGCAGCATTGACTTCCAGCATAAAGAGACGCATTGTCTCCTTTGGCGTCCGCCGGCTTCAAACCAACGATAGGCACATAGATAATATTGCTATTAGCCGTCGTTGAAGAGGATCGGTGGAGAATTGCCGTTCTTTCTGGAGCATATCTCTTGACTCCGATCACGCGCTAATACGGGCTCGTGCATGTCTGCTCCATACTGGTTGCAGTAAACACGCGGCAGTGAAGTCCATGTGCTGGATTGGAGTATGAGAGCGTGAAGTGTGCACTTAGGGAGGAGACAGGTAGGCATTTGTATGCAAGTGACAGTAATGCTGATCCTGAGGAAACCTGGCGTGATATTCAGTCTGCTATAGAGACAACGGTAGATACAATTCATAGCCTCCGTCCAAATGTTAACAAATTTCATTGGATTCCCGCAACGTCATTCAAACTGACTGATGCGAGAAGATTGGTTCCACCTGGCTCCGACCACGATGAAGAGTGAAAAAAACTTCAAAGTAAACAGACTAAAAGTCTTCTCAGTGATGTTGAACAGTGTTGGATGGCAGGAGCGAGAAAGACCGAGAAGTCACCAGCGTTGAGCAACACTTGGCAACCATTTAGGCTTATTGAGGAGATCGACAAGAAGAAGACGATGGTTAGTGAGACCACCACCGAAAAGGATGGAACGCTGATAACCTCCCAGGACAGGTGGCTAGAACGTTGGGCAGAAAACTTTGAAGCACAGTTCATCTGAGCTTCAATAATGCTTCAATTGCCCAACATTTAACCTGAACCTGAGTAAAACGTAGATGTCAGTCCTCCAGCTCTCATTGAAGTTGAGAAGGTCGCGGCGAATTTAAAACTATGCAAAACAACAAGACTTGGCGGTTCTCCAACGGAAGTCTTAAAGAAGCGAGGTTGGAAATTGTTGATTAGAGTAACGGGGTTGGTGTGCTGTGTATGGAAATCGGAGGCACCGCTGTCAGAGTGGTTTACTTGATTGATCATTTCAGTCCATAAGGAAGAAGAGAAGTCTTTTTGTGACAACTATAGGTGGGTCAGTTTGAATGGTATTGTGTGCGAGATGCTGGGTTTCATAGTTATGCGACACATAACTGGAGCTGGATGACAGCAAACTAGAGGAAACCAGGAGGGTTTTAGAAATGGAGGAGATTGGATCGATCATATCGTCACGATTTGAGAAGCTTAATTACGGGTGGCCAATATTTGTTGTGTTTCGCTTATTTGAAAGTGGCATTTGATTGTGTCGAGTGAGAGGTGTTGTGACATTGTCTGACTGTGAAGAGAGTAGTGAGCAAAAACGTAGTGCTGATTATAGCTCTCCAGTGGAGCTGACACATCCATGTAAGGGTATATAGAGAATTATCCCCATAATTGACAGCAACTATTGATGTCTATCAAGAATGCTCACTATCACTGTTCCTGCTTAACTTTGTTATAGATTTGCTAACAGACATAACCTTAGTTACCTCTGACTTCGCAGAAGCTGATCTACTCCCTTGAGAGCATCCCACTGATAGTATTGTCCTGTTAAGTGAAGATGCTGGCAAAATGCAGGGTCTTGTGAATGCCTTGAGCAGAAATCTGAGTATGTTTGGCTTGGGTTTTGCACCTGTCAAATGTAAGATGATGATCCAGAAATGATCAGAAACCACTCTCAGTTTAATGATCGGGAGTGAAGTGGCGTAATGTGTCGATCATTTTACTTAGTTAGGGAGTTGCATCAGTCCGAACAGTGTTGTTGCAGGCGAAATCAGCTTGGATACAGAAGAAGCATTTATCATTTAAAAGCCTGTATTATCTCTGTCTCTGACTGGCGAAATATCCGTTTATCAGAGGACGAGTTGGCTACTCTGTGGTGTGTTCCGTCCTGTTGTATGGCTGTGAGACATGGCCATCAAAAGTAGAAAACGTAAAGCGATTACAAGGTTTTGATCACAGATGTCTTCGTAACATTGCTCACGTTTGGTGGAATCACCGTGTAGGCAATGTATTGGTCAAGTAAGGGGTACTGGGCAATAGGAGCGAGTCGATTGATGAGGTTGTGAACCTTCATCGACTGAGATATTTTGGACGCATACTGAGTTACCACCTATCCCAACGTGCATGCTAGGGGAAGTTGGATTAGGTGAGGAGAGGGTTCAGGATGGTCGGACCAATACGTGATATCAATCGACAAAGTCCCTGGCTGTGTAGGTAAAATTAGACAGCTTGGGTTGGTTACTTAAGACGATAGGAGCCAGTTGTTGAAGACTGACTCTTGCTGACATAACTGGAAATTGATCACAATGACGCAGATGTATTCACTGTTTGACATCTAAAGCCTAAATATTTGCACTGGCCGTTATCTTCAATTTGTTTATTCTCTCATACAACTTTACCTACTTTTATGTCATTCTTTTCCCATTCAGTTTTTTGTATTCACTATGAAGTATGGCAACTAAAACCGATGCACTTATGTGCATGGTTCCGCTTCTTATTTTTTCTGTCTCTCTGTCTTATTGGTCAGACTTACTGATGTATTGA